GATGATTTGTTGTTTTTATGACATAGAAAATGATCTAAAATGCTAATATATGTATCTCCGTTATTTGTAGGGGTAGACATGTGAAAATTTAGGATAATATTCATCATGTTACAAGGGATTATATACCAAAGTTTGAGCTTTTTTGGATTTGTTATAAGGGAGAAAGAGCAATTTTCCTGAGAGCGACCAAGACTTATGGCTCACCCTTTATGAGTTGATTTGATTCGATATCACGCAACGTCAATGAATCAAGTCGGTTAAATGATGAATCAATATTAAATAATGTAAAGTTTGACTCATAATCATAAAAATAGGGCCAGATAATTGAAATAATTTTATCTTTATTTGGAGTAACAATATGTGTAGAACAATATTGTAAGATGTCTTGTGAATGAAAACGAAGATCAATTTTAAGTCGAAGAGATGAAGAAGCTAGTAAAGCTTGAAAACGAGTATTAAGATTTGAAAATACTTTGTATATTGCATAGGCGTCAAGATAATCAAAAATTTCATACAATAGTTCATTTGATAAATTTTCAAAAGAATTAATCAGTTTGCTATAAAAGAGAAGAAAAATTTAATCGAGTCAAAAACTGTTTTCATTCGACCTACTTGTGATCATCTATTACTATTTAAATAAGGATAAAATAAATAACATTATATAATGACACTAATACTTAAATCTTACCTCTAATTTTTTTTGCTTCCTCTTTCGATGGCTCGGTATTATCCAATGGTCTTTTAACTGAAAACATATGGTTTTTAAAAGTAAAATTTTATCTGAAATAGAAGTGTTAGTAAGAATTGCATAAAGTTTGGTTTTTTTACGGAAAGAATAATTGTTTGTCATTGTCTGATTTCGCCATGCTTTTCAAAACACTTTTACATGTAACAGAAAAAAAGAAGAGAATCAATGTATATATTACCTACGTAGCATGATTATGAATGAATGGTCGAAACTGATGTTTTTTGTTTTCTTCCTTTGTTTTTTTGTTTCTATCAAATATTTGTATTGATTCACCGAGAATGATTCATGCTGAGTGTGGGTGTGGGTGTGGGTGGGGTGTGGGGTGTGGATGAGGTCCCCAATGATATCTACATTCCCACACCCACACCCCACACCCACACCCACAACTAAAATTGTGCTGCATGAAAAATTTCTGCTGTTGTTGTCATAAGGAGGTCCAAGTAGCAGCAGTGTTTGAGATCGTCACGACTCAGAAACAAAATGCAACTCGAACTATTACTGTTACTATCGAGCACCTGCAGCATAGTCTGGTTGACACACCATCAAATGTTCGCGTTCTATCAAAAGAAAAGCAGGCAGCCTTTTATGAAAAGCAGTTCCATGTTGATACACTCAAATTCTACTATCTGAATAATGAAATATTTGATGAAGCCAAGTTCAAGGAACAGCTGCTAGAGAGTGAAACTCTGGCACGTATTGTGATGCAACTCAAAGCCATGGTCGGTCATTATCCGGATCAATCACAATTGAAACAGATTATTGAACAGCATAAATCTCACCTTTTCGGTGAACTGCCGAAGGAAAACATTTCAACTTTGGAAGACAAAGGAACAGAAATGCATATTTCAGAATCATATAAAACCGCCTAGAATCATATCGAAGTGGTTTTTTTGACGTTACGGACTTTATAATTACGAAAAGAACGTGAAATAATTCCATTTTAATTTACTTTTTCAGTTATTCAACAAACGTCACCATATGAGTGGGCATCCCTATTAAATTAAAATTAACAAACTTAAAGTTTTCTAAGTCAAACAATATTCATTGACTGACCTAAATAAATGAATATATACGTAAGCAATAGAATCAATTTATATCTCAGAAGGAGAAAATTACTAATACTTAGGGCATACCAAAAGTAGTGTCGTCCCCATCTTAATTTCGTATAGAACGCTTAAGAAAAATTTCTTTTTTTATGAACAGATAGAGCGTCGTTTGCTCTATTTTTCTATGCTATTTGATTACTATTTAACTGATATCATAATAACAAAATTTCGATAATACTGTTTTTTTTGTAACTCCATCTGGTACCAATAGTAGATATCATCATCCATGTGTGTTTTCTTTTCTTATTTTCTTT